AGGCAGAGGATTGACACTAATTCCTTAAATAAATATTGAGTGGCAATTTCCTTCTTACTTTCTAAACATTAATTGTTAGATAAATAATTTTAAGTATATGAAGCATTAAAAATCATTCTTTTTATAAAATCAAATTTTGTTAGATTGTAAATTAATTTTGTAAAATTTTCTATGTGCCACATAGTACATGTATGTTAAAGAATAATATCTTACTTATAATTGTCGCCCGCTTTCTCTGAAAGAGGGGGATATTAATTTGGGTCTGTCTGTCGTCCGTCTAGCTGTCTGTCTAGCTGTCCATCTGTCTGTCTGTCTGTGTGAAACACTTTCGCTTCCAGACCTTATTTCAAGAAGCCTTTGAGCTATTGCAATGAAATTTCATACCAAAACCCCTTATAACCTAAAAAAAAAAGACCCAGGTCCGTAGAACGCGGGTTGGGGGGGAGGGGGCACGCTCCCCCTTTTCTGTGTATAGTATTTTGCTACATTAATTTTCATTTAGGAGCTTTTTTTGCTTGTCAGCTTTTTTTGACGCTTTTTTTTGGGGGGGGGGGGGTGCCCCCTCCCCCCTACCTTTTGAAACCGTTGCTACCGGCCTCACACCCCTATCAATTTTGAGGTCAAAAAGTCAAAGGTCAAGGTAATAAATTCATTACTTCTGTTTTGGTGTAATACTTTCATTTCCGGGCGATATCTTTTAAAGGGGCCTGGACACAGATTCGAAGTAAATATTTTCTCAAATCTTCTGTATAATATCATGACTTATATGTTGCTATAGCATTTCAAACGGAAATATAATTTAAAAAAACCCTTATTTTATCTGGAAATTATTGAAACTACGAATTTCGGGACGCGTTTGATTGACACATTCTTGCACTTTCAAAAGGTAAACTTTATCCTTAATACTTCAGAAAAGTAGGCTGTTGTGTATTAATGAAAAATATTAAAAGTATTATCCAGAAAATTCAGAGTAGAAATGTGAGATTCAGAAAGCAAAACCAACTCACCAGTATTTTCAGTTCGTGCTCAGTGATGTGTGCAGAGTTTAAAGTCATACATGTATATGGCGTATATTTGATAAGTTTAGATAACCAAAATTTAAAAAAATCTTTCTATTTGATTTATTACTTTATATAAAGATAGGACTCTCTGTAAATTACACAATCTAAATCAACTGCGTTTCAAAGATATCAAAAAATTAAAACAATTACCGATTTATTTACCGACTCCACATTTAAATAAAAGACACATTTAAAGTCAATTTAATTATCGAAACGTGAGGTTATTCAAGTTCAAAATCGGTGAAAATTTTAAGTTGAACGTAAATAACATTATATATATCATGTATATCTACACTCAGTCTCGTATCATCATTTTTAAGCTCAGATACGCCATATATAGCTTTGCAAAAATTGAACACAACCATGTGGTTTGAGCAAAGAATTATATTCGTCTTCAATACTGCGATCATTACAAAAATGTAGCCGTTCAGGGCTTTCAGCATTTGGCCTTAGAGTCAATATGAGTCTTTTTTAAAGTTAAATAAATTAATGATAAAAAAAAAATAATTTCAAAAGCTTACAAAAATTTTCTGGATAAGTTTACTACATATGTACAAAAAAAATCTTGATAAATATGGTATTGTAATGTTGAGATTACCTCCTAATTTAAATACTGTAGATCTTGTGGCCGTAGGTTCTGTCTAACCCTGCTCACAATCCTTGTCATGTTGGCTGGCTAGCTTTGGACAGCTGGCAGGGGTAGTATCAACATCTGCAGCTGAATTTATGACGTTTTCTACAATTCGGGATGCAGACTCTGAATATGTTCTCCACTGCCTTTTTCTTCACCTACAGAATAAAAGGTTATAGTTATTTTTAGATATTTCTCTATATCTAAATGAATATAATTAAGAAGAGAAATTACCTCAGGCCAAATAAAAAAAATATGTGTGGTTCCAGTTACCTTACCGTCCCTATTTTATACCCCCGACCCTAAACTTTTTTTCGGCAATTTTCATATTTTTTTCCAGAATTTTCCCAGATTTCCATCAATGGCTCCGGTTTAAGTTTTAGTTTCAGCAATGACAGCCTCCTTGCAAAACCTAGTGCAACTGTTTAATAGTGTTAAATCCAAAGCAAGCTAGCATGTACATGTAGGTGTCCCCTACAAATATTGACTAGTATATTATCACACCACATCTAAATGCCACTTGCAAAGGAGTGATAGGTATTATTTAGAAAAATTAAGAAAATCATTTTGTTAAAAAAGAAAAGACCCTACCTAACTACCCTAATTTTTTTTGGAGGTGTAACCGGAACCACACATATTTTTTTGTTTGGCCTCAGCTTTCATTTTGATGGCTAAATGAACTCCTAGCTCTGCAAGGTGTATAGGATTCTTCTGGCCTTCCTAGAAAGTGTCACCCTTCTGAATAACTGTGGCTGGAGAAGGGTATTGCAGGCAGCTGATGCAGTTGGGCCATTCCAAGTTTTTTTTCTCCTTTTAGTGTCTACCCATCTTTCAAAAACCTACCATCCTACCTTCCTATTCGCAAAAAACACACAAGCAACAATAAAGAACAATGACTTATATTTGTAACCGGAAGTAGAACTCTTTAATGAATAACTTAACAAAGTTAATAGCCAACTTGGCTTAAAGCAGTAAACTGCCTCCAGTTATGATTGTCAACCCAGGTAAGGGGATATCTGAACTATGATCAACGCTAAATGAAAACACAGTTGTACGTTTTATAAATTTAATAAAGTGAGAATTAACCTTTGTAAATGATAAAAAATAATAAATAATGATCAAAATTTAACAAACACAAAAGTCTTTGAAATTTGCACAGGATTAATAGGGCTTTATCAAAAATGTAATTTAATCTGGTAGGTGATTCACAATAATCTCAATGAATAATCTCAATAAATGAATAAGTAATTGAAAATGTAATAGAAAATGGGAGGAATGTGGAAAAACTATGAAAAAATAATTTATGTCCCTACTGGGCTTCCATACTTATGAAAGTTGTCAAAAATCCTATAAAATGAATGAATTAGAAAAGTGTAAAAGGAATGAGCTACATCACCCAATATGACTACTATCAACACTCTAGAGTTGAACTGAAAATATCAATGCTAATTCTAGGTTCTAAAAATAACTGGCCCAGAAAATAAACAACACCCAAAATAAATAATAAATAGTGGTTCTAGAAAATAAACCTGTTATCTACATATCCCTAGACCAGGCAGGACTTGGAAAGGGAAACTTAATTTACTTTAAATAACCTACATCCTAACCTATCATATAACTTTATTCTATAAAACCTACATCTAACCTATCATAAAGTGCCCGCTCAGCACGTGCTAAATGAAACCTATAATGCCGTGTACCTTGAGGTTGGCATAAAATCAGAGATAATGAGCCATGAGGCTTATCCCTTACCAAGTCAAGTAAACTGCTCGAACACGGGTTTAAATACCCTAGCAAGGTCCAAAATAAAAACCAATGACTATCAAAGATCCTAAAGCTAAGTTAACCAATCAGAACACAGCTATCAAAAGTACTACGGAAAGACTGCCAACATGGATGACACTGCCTGTTTAAAAAGTAAAACATGTGGAATGTCAACACATGTCCTAACTTATAACAGACAAATAATAAAGGGGTTTTACGTAAGTAACAACTGAAAACAAATGATAAATAGAATAATCTGACTGAAATATCAGCAAATACTTGTAAAATATTATTTACGAAACGATGGCTATGAAATAAAAATCTAAACCACTACATATTTGCTAGCGCTCTCGAGCGCTAGCAACTACGTTAGTCTATATTTCTGAAATACGCATGCTCGTATTCACGGTCGGGGATTCTGGGAAAACTACTGTAGATAGACTGTACGATAACAATTTCATTTTGTCATGCAAAAATAGAAATGATCAGAATTTACACTGGCCTTTCCTGTCTGATATGCGCGATATACATTTCGAAGGTTAGAGACAGTCAATACCAGTCTAGATCCGGATTCTGAATTTTTTTTTTTAATTTATTGTCTAACCTACACATAAAAGTACAAGAAAAAATTTGGCTAGACATCTAGCTTTCCTTACATTCTTACCACCTTAGTGGATAATTCCGGCAAGCTCGGAAAAACAACAACAACAACAAAAATCTTTTTTAGAGTATGTCGGAAAGACATGTCAATTTAGTGTTTATCATCTGAAAATACATATGATCTGAAGTTTCGTGTTTTGTTGTCTAACCTGCACGTACACGTAAATGAAAAAAAGGAACAATAACTCAGATCTTATAAAACCAAGACTGTTATTTCTAATGTAATAAATACATAGCTTTTCTAATCTACCTTCATGGATCTTTCCGGCAAGCTCGGAAAACCGCGGCAACCTCGGATATGTTTTCCGAGCTTGCCGGAAAGGCCCGAAGGTGCTCATTGGTTCTACTGACCTTTTATTTTTCACCTCGAAATTGAAATTACAGTAAAATACAGAATGCTTAAAGCACAGTTAGGAGTTACGCCATTGCCGACGTGATGCACACTCTTACATTCACCATTCTAAATTGTGACCCCCCCCCCCTCAAACTCAACCCCCAGTGCACCAATCTGCCTTTCTATTAATAATTAAACCGATTCAGCAAATTTAACAAATGGTTCAGATATCTTATTCTGTATTTTATTATGCTATAGCGCTAGCTCACCAATCTTTTTAAAAGATAAGCTTGTCATAAGATTACGTCATTCAAAGCATTCGATTTTATTTATCAATTTTTTTCAGTCAAATCCAAATACCTAATTACGCATTAATTTTGTATTTAGATGCTGGAGAACATTCAAATTTTTGCACAGCCGTGGCTTATATTCAGGACCCTTTTAGAATGCGTGTGTTTTTTACGCAAGCCCGTGCAATATTGCATATAAGCCAAAGTGTCTCGATCGGTAAAATCACCTTTTTCTCAATGTCAATTTTTTTTAAAAATCGGGATCGGTATTCAACATGAAAACGAAAGGAGGAATGATGTCGTGTACTTCACATGTGGTGTTTTTGTGTTTGTGTTTGATTGTAACGAGCTTCTGTGCCGAAGAAAAAGGAGCTGAGAGTGAGAAATGGAAGAAAAAAGATATTCGGGATTACTCAGAGGCTGATTTAGAACGTTTATTTGACCAATGGGAGGCGTGTACTTTATGTAGAAATTTACGCTGATTTCAGCTTGAATAAATCCAACAGTTCGTCTAAATTCTATCATGTTAAAATCACAAAAATACCATACTAAAATATTTTTATATTATATTTTTTTCCAAGTGAGATTGAATGCAGGAATAATGCATGGGCGGATACAGGATTTGTGATTAGGGGGGGGGGGGGCGTGGATAACTTTGTTCAGGCAGGGGGAGCTCCTGGGTTTTCGTGTATTTTAAGAGTAAAACCAGGCACAATAATAGGGGTATTGGTTAGTTTATATGTACCAAAGTTTGGCATTATGAATACTAGTCATATCATACTTTGAATAGAGGGGGGCGAAGCCCCCGGAAGCTCCTGGGTTTTCGTGTATTTTAAGAGTAAAACCAGGCACAAAAATAGCGGTATTGGTTTGTTATATACCAAAGTATGGCATTATTGATATTAGTCATATCATACTTTGAAAATTTTAGGGGGGGCGTGCGCCCCCCACGCCCCCCCTTAAATCCGCCAGTGTAATGTATTTACATTTAAAACAAATGATTGTGAAAATGGTGTTATATTGCGTGTTCCTTTGAGGCAGGTTCCCTTCCTGTGGTCAGGTTATAGCTCTGTTGTAAAGCATCTGTTTAGGTGCTTAGGTTAAAACCTTTGTCTGATGTTTGTCATTTCCTCCCTTGTTACATCTAATGCTGTGCCACACCCCGGTTAGATAGAATGTTCTATCGTTAAAATAAATGTCCTATGGACCCGGTTTAACGATAGAATGCGTACCGTGTATTGTCAATGTAGCAAAGAAAATATGGGAGTTAACTCTTAGTCAGTGCATTTACTATGAAAAATCCCGAGAGTTCCGAATGTCAACATGGTGTGTAAATTTGAAATGAGTAAAATCGTTGGTGAAAAAGTGTTGAATTCTTCCATTATATGGATTAAATTTTTAGATGAAAGGTATTTACAGTCTCAAAAAGGTTTGTTATGATTAATTTGACTGTTATTTTCAATGCAACTTCATTAATTTTCTCCAAAATCCTTTTGGAGCAATTCTGCAATTTTCTGCTACATTACGGGTATATGGGAGGCATTCTAACTGTGGTGAGGGCCTGTCCCAAGACCCAGTTAGATTATTCTAACTACACCCCGGTATACTGAGAAGTCAACCAAAACTCACCTGCTAACCCAGTGTTAACGGTGTGATCATGTGTTGGTGGCTTCAAAGCAAAGTTGTGAAAGGAGGGAGAAATGTGGCCATCAGACGGGTTTGTTGACAAGTAGCCAGATAGCTTGGTATCGCTTCTATGGGTTTGAATCCTCATCTGATTTGTTGCATATTCTACTTCCCTGTTTAAAAAAATGATCCTGAGAAAGTTTGAATTAATTAACCTGCACACTAAATGTTCTGTGAATCCTTATTTGATCTGTTTATCTAAATTATCATTTTTAGGTTGTTCTTTTTTTACTGCAATGTCAAAGTGAACAGTTGTTGATGGAAGGAATGACTGCATGCATAGCATTACATTTAAATTGATATAACTACCGTAACATTGCAGAATTACTTTAAAAGTGCATGTATCAAGCACAATATATGAAGAAACCTTATTACTTATTAGGTTTGTTACTGACTGTACATAGAAGGTATATTTGGAGGATAAGTCTCATAGATTGTGATGGCAAAGCTGAGCAGAATTTGAGAATGATCAATCCGATATATATCCAGGGGGTCAGTAACAAACCAGATCAGTGAATTATTTTTCTAAGGACCAGAATGTGAAAGACAGTTGATTTCTAATTATTGAGTGGGTAGGTGATATAGCTGGAAATCATGTGTCATTATTGATAGATCTGTGTAAACCGTAAAGAAAAATAATAATCCTTTTTTATGTTTTATGTTCATTAATGTAGATTGTCATATACATATTACAGGAAAATGATGATGAAGAATTACCAGAGGATGAGCTGCCTGAGTGGAAAAAGGAGCCCCCAAAAGTGGACCTCTCCCAGCTCGACCCCAACAACCCAGAACTGATGCTGCAAGCCTCAAAGAAAGGACGCACTCTCATGATGTTTGCAACTGTATCAGGTTACCTTGGTTTTTGGCCCAATGAGCTTCACCATTCCCCTCCTGACTCTCAGATTTAATTTTAGATTATGTGTTATGCCAGGGACCTATATACTAACGTTAGTATATAGGTCCCTGGTTATGCATGATTTGGACATTTTCATTGCCAATGAAATAAGAATACAGACACCTCGCCAGTAGATCACTGATTTCAAAAAAGAGAAACTTCATTGAACTACAGTTAAACTTTGGTTTCTTGAACACTCATATCTCAGATACTATGGATATGTTGAGGTGATTTGGAAGCCCCAACCCCATTATTCTTGAGTATTTTACCCTGGATCAGCAGTGGATATCTTGAATCCTCATATATATCAAAGTTTTTCTCTTGGTTCTATTGAGTCTGAGGTAATTAGGCTTGACTGTACTTGTATAATGTTGAGGTGCAGCAGTATAAATAACTGTTATGTGTTACATGTATACTTCAATTTACTATATGCCATATGTAGTTTATTTTGTGTATTGTGTAGGTGACCCAACAGAGAAAGAAACAGAACAAATTACACAGTTATGGCAGACAAGTTTATTCAATGCTAATTATGAAGTGCAAAGGTAAAAATTTTTCAATTTATATACTGTATATTAACAGCAGGACTCTGCACTCTCACTAGTAAAATCTATACTCTAGTAGTAATCTCATATGTCCACTGTATACCTATATCTTATTTGGATTATAATAGGTTAACCTAAGTGCTAGTCATCTTCTTCTAATGAACTGTTTTAAAGATGGTATGGTTTTTGATCATTTGCTCCAATAAAACATTTGGTTTGTATATGAGTTTGATTTACAGTGGCAGAGGCAGAGAGGCTTGAGGGGTGTGTGTCTGGAAAAACACCATGCTCTATGATTTTTTTTTTTTTTAAAATGTCAATTTAACATGTTTGCAATAATGTTTTACGTACAGCACCATAAGGGTGTGAAATACCAAAGGTGTGAAATTCCAATAACAGCGTGTCACTTTGAGCATGCTAAAGTTTCAAATGTTTATCACCATATTTCTCATCGATTGGATGTTTGATTTCAATGAAATGAGCACTACTTTGCATATGAAACAGAGAACCCACCAATACACTGATTACCATCTTCCTTGGAAGACGGTATACAGAGTTGAAGTATTTTACAGTCCTCAGACTAATGCACTTCCTCTCTTCTGTGATTAGTAGAAAATGCTTGATGTGAAAATTTTTAATTATTTCATTGGTTGAAATGCTGTTCAAGGCAAGGGAGATAATTTTCTGGCGATCTAATTTTTGTACATCTTAACAATTTTTTAAGATTTTCAATGTTTAAAAAAAATATACAAAATGAACAAAAAGAAAATTGCACTACCGGTAATGCCTAGTGGCATTTAATTGTAAAGCTCCTTCACTCGTTATTACGTCACTGAAAAGGGCAATACTCAAAATCATTAAATTTAATTGCAGGATTGCCAAAGTAGCAAAATGTATATAATGTGTTTTTTTAAAGGGAAAAATTATGTCAATTTAAGGATACACCAAAGGTTTCCAAATGCCAGAATTTTATTTGCATGTAATTCTTTCATTATCAAAGATAACATAATAAAAGTATATATCATTTGAAAGCTTGTTAAATTTACTATTTAATTATCCTAATTTAAACTTTAATTAATTACTTATGAAAAAATTATTCAAATATTAATGTAAATGTTAGTGCATTAATATTTTATAAATCAACTTTTTTGTATTTAACCCCTCAAAGTGGTCATTTTGCCTCAAGGTAAATTAAAGATTGAACTCAAAAACTGTATATCAGATTTTTAATAAATCTTCTAATTCAAAAGTTACAGCCATTTGCACTTTGATGTTACCAATTTATTAGCCTAATTTAACATTTCCCTCAATAATTCCAAAATGAAGCTAGATATCAAAAATCTGAGATATGGTTTTGTGAACACACATTTGAGAAGTAACCCATTCAATTTTCAGAGAAATTGGTCGATAAATAAGGGAGCTGAATCCTTTGAGATAATACCACAAATATTCTGATCTTACTTTACGGTAGAGGGCAAAAACCCATTACACAACAAAATCTGCCAAAGCTAGGAATACATGACACTTTGGAGATTCAGCTTTGGATACCTGTCAATTAGCCATATTTCCTATGCATATTCACAAGAATGGGAGGATCTTTTCTGTATTTAGATGCTTTTAATTAAGTAAAATAGGTGCAATTCTGAATCAGAAAAATTTCCCGGCAAAATGGCAAGAGCTAAGCCCCACCTCCTATTTTATGGTCATCAGTGATCTAGCTGTTAGATCTCTTTCTCTAAATCTAGAGTCCCTGTAGTTTAATTACTGATAACCTCTGTGTGGCTAGTGAAGAATTCCCCAAGTGGTCACAGTGATTTATTTCGTCTTTCATGAGCAGGCAGTCACAGATCAAATCAGAAGTTTCAATAACGGAACATTCACATGTGGTAGTGTTTATGTTTCATTATTGTTAAATAATTAGAAAACCATTTCATAATTACTAATGATTTTACATGCATCATAAAGTATTGATTAACTTCTTTTTCTTAGCCAAAAATCTCAAAATTGTTGAAAATCTTGAAAAAAGCCTTTGGTGTATCCCTTAACATGTTTGCAATAATCTTTTACATACAGCATCATAAGAGTTTTTTTTTAAAGGGAAAAATTATGCAAGCATTTTTTGTCTATAAATATGGAAGACATAACATTTGTTTTCCTCCATGTTAGTGTCCAAATTTCCAAATCCAAGGAAATATTGATGGCATGCACATGACATCTGTTATCCAATGACAGTGTCATTCTTCAACGAGGCAAAACAAAATATATATATACACTGTATACATGCATAGGAGGAAATATTCACAAATTCAGGGCCTTATATTTCATTATGATATTAGGCATCTCCATGTGTTGTGGATTCAGGGTTGGTTAAGGTCTAGGGTAGGGTCAGAATATATAGTGAAAATTATGCATGGGAATATAGAGGAAAAAATCCTTCTAAAAATTTGTTGAAAAACAGCAGGCTCTGGGCCATAAAACTTAGACGATATCACTTTTGATCTCAGTCTCACTTTTACCAAAGGAATTAATAGTAGAAAAGTGAGACTGAGATCAAAAGTGAGCTCATCTAAGTTTTATGGCCTTGTGGGGCCAGGATGAAGGTGACTGCGGTGAGTGTTGAGGCCATTGGACTTCTTGCCATCACAATACTCTGGTTGAAATCTATTGTGGTATTTTATCAAATTTTACATTTGGATGTATTTTACCAGGCTCAAGGGTCATAAAACTTAGACAAGGCCGGTTTTGATCTCAGTCACTTTTACAAAAATTTATAGTGGAAAAGGGGGACCAAAATAAAAAGTGAGCTCATCTAAGTTTTATGGCTCTTGAGCCAGATCTAGCAATTGGTATGTATTCTATCAGCAATAATCTGGTATATATTTTACAAAAGCTAATGTGTGGTATGTATTTTACAAAAGCTAACGTGTGGTATTTTATGTATATTTTTGTGTAGGTATGTTGTTAGCAGTAACAGAGTAATATTTATGATAAAGGATGGCTCCAAGGCCTGGGAGATTAAAGATTTCCTTATTACACAGGACAGATGTGAGGAGGTCACGATCGAGGGAAAAAACTACCCAGGGGCAGCAGCTAAGGTCATACACATAGTAAAAGCTTATTTATCTATTACATGTATGTATGTATCACTCAGAAGTTAATTTTGTTTCCTTTTTAATGTACTGATAATGAAAATTACCAAAGGCATTGATATTTTTAAAACATTACAAATAGAAGCATTTTCATATTTTGAAGTGTAGCAAACACTTAAAAGAGCTATGACTCTGACTGAATTATATTTATCAACACAGAGTAAAGACTCTAAAAAATCCACAAAAAAAGAGGACAGAAAGGAAGACAAGCATGAGGACAATGTATCCAGTAAAAAGTCTGAGACTCAGAAAAGAGAGCAGTCAAAGAATGATATACGAAAAACAGACGAGTTATGAACAAAGAAGGAACACATAAAACAGAGCTTTTTCAGCGACAATGTGGTGTTCAGTGACTATAAAAGATCGGATATACTGTACATGACAGAGCAGACAGTTAAATACTCAGAATTCTGTACAAGTACTGTCATTTCAGTATTCTTGTCATTTGTGGAAAAAAGTCACTTTTCGTTTGTTCATTTATACAAGGGTTGTCCGGTAAAATCGTGGGCAAGTTGTCCATATTGAAAAATAATCATCACTGCATTATAAAACTTTCACTACTTTTTAGTACATTTTTCATCAATATACATAGCAAATTTCAAATAGATATCTGCTCAAATGAACAAAATATGAGACTTCATGTTATGTATGGTATCGTCTTACGGCGCACGGATGATAACGTCAAAGTCTCTAAAGCAGCGTCACGTTTCCTCTTTGCTAAATATATAAAAGTTGGATAAGCCCTACTTAAATTCGGTCATTTCATTGATGCGTATACTTGATTTTCCCTTTATTCCTCCATAAACAGTGGAGGAACCAATCTCGAACACACCTGGGACCTTCTGAAGATTTATTCGTAAGTTATGGACAGTGCTCTCACTATCATTCAACAATACAGGCTCCCCTATATCGACGGTCTACAGTGACAGCGTCTTTTGCTATTGCCAGTAGCTGTTTGTTCGTATGTTTTGTTCTACCCGGGGACCCGATCAAAAAACTCCCGCTTAGAAAACTCCCATTTCACTTGTATACTAAAGATCTAGTGATATTTTTATACTTTTTTTTCTTCTGTAGTCATTTAAAGTTTCTTAGTGCGTCATTACTACATCTAAATCAAACTGAACTGCTCTCCGGTGCGCCGTAACGTCACCAAACATCGCCATTTTTCGTGTGTTGTGTTTACCACTTTCCCATTTCAAATGCTCAGGAAACTGCCAAAAATTAAGCAAATGCCTTGATATTTTATAAAAGA